TTAATGGGATGGCAAAGAGAGATTTGGTGTTTTGGAATGCCCTGATTCAAGGGTTGGCTATGCATGGACATAGGGAGAAAGCACTTCACTTTTTCTCTAGAACGAAACAAGAAGGATTTCCGCCTGATAAAGTGACCTCTGTTGGTGTTCTATGTGCTTGTACTCATGCAGGTTTTGTTGAGGAGGGCATTCAATACTTTCATGCAAGGGGAAAGATATTATGGAATAGTTCCCAAAATTGAGCATTATGGTTGCCTGATTGACCTTTTAGGTCGTGGTGGATGTCTTAAGGAAGCTTTTAGGCTTGTCCGCAGCATGCCAATGGAACCGAATGCCATTATTTTGGGTACCCTTTTAGGGGCATGCCAAATGCATAATGATGTGGGATATGCGAAGGAGGTGCTTGATCAGTTGGTTAAACTTTAAACCAACAGATGCAGGAAATTTTTTCATGTTGTCAAATTTCTATGCTTCAGCAAGAGATTGGCGCAGTGTTACTAGTGTAAGGATGCATATAAAGAACACTGGCACTCAAAAGCCATTAGGGGCTAGTTCAATTGAATTGGATGTGGATGTTCATGAATTTACAATACTGGACAGATCACACCCTAAATCAGATGGTATATATCAGATGATTGATGGATTAGGTTTGCATCTCAAGCAAGTTGGTAATGTACCAAAGGCATGTAGCTAAAATTACTGTTGATAATGATTTGGTTAGATGCACTACTAAAATGACACTCATATTGAGAGCTCTCTGTCACGTACTGACTCATTGGGGATGTGAGTTCTACACCTAGCACCTTGCAAGTGCATTAGTTTGTGAGCAACAAGGCAGGCAGGGTAGATCCCTATCGCGTCTCCTAGGTTGATCCTTGGGCATAATGCACGGGGGTACGTAGTACCACTCATGGAGCCAGCTTCTCGGGAGGATGACAAGTGCCCAGTTCGTGACGATTAGTATCAGAGCCAACCTAGGGGCACTGTGATGGGGACAGTATGCGGGACTTACACCAAGCACCTTCATTGTGGGGTCCGCACCAAGGGTGGTGTCCGCACAGGGCGGGTTCCCATGGGTAGGGGAACAGACAAACATGGAGGCAGACAGGATAAAGTCCCCCTGACAAGGGCGTCAGGGACTGGCGGTGGTAGCATGTCACGTACCGACTTCTACACCAAGTACCTTGCAAGCGCATTAGTTTGTGAGCATCAAGACAGGCAGGATAGATCCCTACCGCATCTCATGGGTTAGTCTTTAGACATAATGCATGGGGGTACGCAGTACCACTCGCGGAGCCAGCTTCTCGGGAGGATGACAAGCGTCCAATTCATGACATCTCTCTCAGTAAAAGTGGAATAGCTCTTCGATTGGTCCTATACCGGAGAACATAGCACTATAGTAGAGAAAGTTCTTGCAGCTGCTTTTGCTCAAGTCTCTTTGTGCAGACATGAACTTTACCTTTTCTGATAAACCAAAAAAGGGCCTCTTATGTTCATTGTTCATCTAATGTACACTTTTAGCAAACATTGGGCAGATGTCAAGCGCCTTCAGTTTATAGATGGATTGAGTTGAACTTGCGTCCTTGTACTAGATACTATAGGAGGGAACACTACACTTTTCCATTGTATCTGCTTGAGAATTTCACCCTTGGTTTCCTTACAACTCTACGTTTTACCTTCATATGTGTGTTTGGAGAGGTTTTGAGTACTTATTATCTCACATTCCGTGTCTTGAGGTGATGTGAGGAGTGTAGATGACTCACCAAGTTTGGTAAGTTTTTGTCATGACCTGAAACTCGCCCCAAAAAGTTTGGGCATGACCCACTCAAAAACGGACACTTAACCTGGTATACATTACATACGGGGCCTGAACAGAAGCATTAAGTAATAATAAAATAACATGAAATAAAAGGAACTATAACCATTGAGCGACTACTATCATGCCAGGATCACCAACAGTGCATCAAATGATAAATATTTACATACACATATACGAGTCGCGCCCCTTGTTAGGCGTATAACAAAAACATTGAAAACTTAACATATAATAGACAATCAGAGTGCAAGCTAAAACTTAGCAAAGTTCCAAAGAAATGATCAGGCTTTACCCAAATGCCTAGACACACAAAGTTTGGTGAAAGGTAGGCAAGCATCGAGGGTTAAGGCTGACCTCCAGACTTGCTACCTACAGAAACAAACAACATACAGAGTGAGACAATCTCAGTGAATAATAGTACTTAAACAATTTAATACTTAACTCGAATTATGATACGTATCAATGTTTATATAAATAAAGAGAGCATATGATTAATTTGATTCTGTCTTAAGTTCAGAATGGTCTTGTCGGTTCACAATTCACAGATTGGCCCTCGGCCCAATGGTTCACACATTCACACATTGGCCCTCAGCCTAGTAGATTCTTAACTTCATAAATCGGCCCTCGGCCCCATAGATTCACAACTTCACAAATATTCATAATTTCACAAATTGGCCCTTAAACAGAACGGCATTAAGCCCAAAATGGCATATAGCCATAACAGAACAGCATTAAGCCCAGAATGGCATATAGCCATAACAGAACGGCATTAAGCCCAGAATGGCATATAGCCCTCTTTATGTACGTATGAACTCAAGAGGTGGCTCGTACGGATTCTAGAGGTGGCTCCCACCAAAGTGTAGCACTTAGCTCCGTACAGCACTTTGTTTCATACTAACAGATCAGACAGAACGGCCATAGGCCTCATAACTTTCACATCGGCTTTAAGCCCAGTTTACATATGTGTGGACTCAAGAGGTGGCTCGTACGGATTCTAGAGGTGGCTCTTACCAAAGTGTAGCACTTAGTTCCGTACAGCACTTTGTTCCATACCAGAAATCAGTAAGTTTTAAAAACCAAACAATTCAGATTATATCACTTCATAAACGGAACGAATTAACAAGACAGGATGCATAAACAGAACGAATAAACCGAACAGAATAATCCTAATTTCTTAAGAATATCGTCACATAATAGTGTACATAAATCATCTCATAGTTTATTACAAATGGGCATAATCATCTTACGTATGTCAGAACATTAACAACACTCCTTGATAGACGTCACAAGTATCATTACAATACGATCAATAAGAATGGAACAATTTACCTCATAACAGTCTTGATTCATCATTGACAAAACAGAATGATTCGGAATACAGGAGCATCATTGTTTCGTTTGTTCACTATAAATCAATACAGGTAATGTCCAGATAACAGAACGTTAATAATGCCTTTCACCAGTAGGGAATCCAAATTATGTTCATCTATTATAGGCAAACACTTATGTTGTAAGACATGTATTACCCAACAGACTATAGGAATCCCTAATAGGGTACTCGGGATATCCTGTTCCCATTCAGCATATCATGTTCCTGACAAGCGGAGTGTACTCCCACGAACTCTCTTGTTAACTAATTCCATTATATGAATAGTTGGTATGAAATTCTTATGCGGAATTATGGATCATTCATAGGGTGTAGCACATTACCGATAATCATTATCCATAATCGAAATACAGAATAATCTCTGAATCACAGCGATGTATGCCAAATCTTTCAATGACCACACAAGTTCACACTAATTCCCAATCCACATGTCATTGCTCACGGAAAACAAAATGTTAATAATAAGAAGTATTAACGGTATATAATGTACATTTGTAGTACTATTACTCACAGTGTTGTTGCGGAGCGATGGTTCCTCCTGTAGTGTGGCCTACACACATAACACACATTAGTTCCTTTTTCCTTATTGAACCACTTCTTGAGTCATTACACTTCAATTGCATTTACAACTATCAAAAAGACATCAAACATAAATTCCAAAAATAGCTGAGGGTTAAGCACGTAAAACAGAGTGAACAAGTTTTCCGACCTGAGCCGCACGTGCGGCCATCCCCTCCGCTCGTGCGGACATGTACCGCACGTGCGGTCCCCCTCCACCGCTCGAGCGGTCAAAAACAGTATGCTTCCCCGTTTATTTCCCTCTTCTCCGCACGTGCGGCCACGACCTCCGCACGTGCGGCCTGGCCCCTGTTTGGCAGCTCAACTTTCATATAAAACCCCATCTTTGAAAACACAAAACAAGGTCTCAAGGTAGATAGATTTAACATCAAAATAAGGTTCTAAATCACATAATAAATTAATCACAACAATTCTTAAACCCTCAATCACTTGAATTCATACTCATAATCAACCATAAACCTTTCCAAAGGTCTCATTATTTTGGGTTTATTTATCCACATACATATAGAGCCATCTAGACTTATAATTCAAACACATAGTTGAGTATTCTCATGAGATAGCAAGGAAGCAAGATGTAGATTTCCCTCTTATAACTCAATTTGGTTCTTAAAACATATAATCATCACATAGAACCTACAACATCTACCTTAACTTTTCCAACGAAAGGAAAATTCTCACCCCAGATCAAGAGAGAGTTTATATAAAGTAATTTTTCATACCTTAAGTTCAAATTAGACAATCGTCACAAAATTTTCCCAATCTTTCACTTGAAGGACTTTCTCTCCAGCTCTCTCTAACTTTCCTCTTCTAGGTTGCACACAGGAGATATTTTGAGAGTGAGCTTCCAAGTCAAAATTTAAAGAGCATGGCACATAGATATATAGATTTATATAATAGGTGAATAAGACAAAATTCAATCGTTTAATCGTCCCCAAATTGAAATTTTACAAAAATGCTTATTATAGCTTAAAAATCATACAGATTTCAAATGTCAAATCAATTTTAGAAAATTAAGTCTCTAAGGCTTCCAATTCCGGATTCAAACAGTTTAAGTGCGACAAATAATTTTCTTATTCAACAGATAGGAATCCATATTTCCAAGTTTCACTTAATTCAACGTAATTTCACATAGAATTTCACAATAAGTATTCCAAAACACAGAATAGAGAACTGAAAAGATACCAGGATCTTGTACAAAGGTCGGGTTATTACAGTTTTAATATCTGTGGGCCATTACTGAAGCTGAACTACTTAAAGATACGTCACTGTGTCAATATGGAAAAACTTGGGATTTCCGCAGAAAATCTCGTCATTTAAACATAGAGGGCAGAAGATAAGGCTTCTTTTTAAGCACGTACCTTGTCTTGCCGAGCTATTATTTAGTGGAGATTTTTCGGTCCTATCTAATTAATAATCTCCGTGGGCATTCAAGCTGTTCCATGAAATTTGGGGTTAGTGTTCAACATAATGCCATGCTGTTTCTCTTGGTTTTTCCTGTTCTTTTTCTTTTCTTTTCTTTTTTTAATATATTTATTAAACACTTGCTTTGCTGGCTGTTTCTTCACTGGGACAATATTGTTCCACCAAGGATCCTCTAGAGTTTTTTTTTCCTAAAGTTTCCTAAAGTGGTGTGTTGTATGGGTGAGATTTAATGCTAAAAAATTGATGTGACTTGTCATTAAATCTCAACCATACAACACACCACTCTAGAAAACTTTAAGAAAAAAAAACTCTAGAAGATCCTTGCTCATATTGTTCAGCACAATTTTCCTCAAACATTCCAGAATTAGGTAACCTCAAGTATTTGGAACCTCGTGGGCAATCTACAATCTACAAAGCCTCCTTTCTTGCATTTTCCTATTAGATGCAGCTCCCATGTTGCATAAATTTACACTGAAGGTGAATATATATATATATTTTTTAAATGATTGTAGAACTATGATATTTGTTAGTTTCTTGTTAAGTAATAAAGATGACACTTGAGTGTTTTTCTTTCCTTCATCAAGCTCACTCTTTGTCTATGATTCCTTTGAACAAGATCAACTATGCAAACTTGCTATGAATTGGATCAACACTTGCTGATTCCCCCCCCACCTGTGTTGGAAAAACATATTTATCAGTTTGGACATAAGATTAAATGGTTGTGGAATTTATGGATTTTGTTCTTTGATTTTAAGCAAGCAACTGTTGTTGACATCAGTTGTCAATTAATTCTAGAGAAAAGCCATTGACTTGCAAATTGGAGCTCAAAGCTTCATGGAGAGAGTTGGATCAACAGAGCTTGTGGTTGCAAGGCCGCTTTGGAGATCAAGCTTCTTGAGCTCGTGGTGGGCTCAACTATAGGTATAAGCTTGGGTGAGACTTTGTAAATCCTTATCAAGTCTTGTAACTGTTTGATTCAATGATCTAGTGAACATTGGTGTTGGGATTGTGGTTTTCATCCTGTGAGATATTTGTCTCATAAGGTTTCCAAGTTAATCTTGCGTCTTGTCCCTTGTTTAATGCTTTCAATTGATCTATTGATGATTGAAATTGATATAGTTGATCTATATTGTTAATATTGGGATTGTTGATTTCAGAAAGCATGAAGTTGATTGATGTATTGAATTCGTTGATCCATTTTGTTAGAGCTTATCTTGTAAGATAAACTTAACAATGGCTAAATGATCGGAATTCCCGTGAGGGTATTTATTACGCAAGATGGAATCAACAATCCGGAAGCAAAATTGTGTCTATATATGCTGGTTATTCAATGGTTCTAAAAACAATGTATATCAAGAACACATCCTGCCGTTGTATTTATAAACACAATGGCAGCCATTGCCAAAGGTCACAACCTTTGGATACAAAAACTAACAGCCACAATTGTCATGAAGCAATGTGTCCATTGTGTTCAAATTCAAATACTTAACTTTTGATCAAGTATGGAGAGACACACCACATTGCGGTGTGGTCACACTTAATCTAACATATCTAAGTTTCAATGACCATTTATCTTTATGGTAAAACATGCTATGCATTAGGAACCTTAAAAGTATTTGTACTTACAATGCTTTATGGAATGCCATCATGCAGCACGGCTAATTCTTTCTTATGTATTGTAATTGATACTCTATGATATTTGACTCATGTACGGCTTATCATTCACAACTAGTTCTTTGATAGTGGAACTTGCTGTGGTATTGTTGTTCTCAAATTAAATTGAGACTTTACTTTCCATTAGTCTTTGCTCTTGTATTTTATGTTTGTTATTGGTATTGTTTGTTTGCCCTTGGTAAATCACTTGCAATCTTTGAATCAAACACAACCTAAATCTCATTGTTTTTTGTCCATTCTGAAATGGAGTCTTAAGAGCTGAACAAGATAGCCACTTCCCCAAGTTATTTTTGACAGCATATGCACATGGAGAATTGAAGTTGTTCCATCTGCATTTCATAATACCAGTCAGTTGTGAAAATGAATAACTTTCATTCAACCAACTGGGACTAGCTTGGTTAGAACCCTTGCATGTCAGTAGGTCATGAGTTGGACTCTTGTCACGTGCGATAATTTTTACCTCTCTAGGCTATGACACCTGATGTACCCTAAAAAAGAAGAAAATAAACTTCCTTCCAATCCATTGACCTCTCATTAGAAGTTTTCTTTTCGGTTCTTTTCCCAGAATTGTGCAGAAGAATCAATTTCCCCCATGCAAGAGGTATTTCTTGTTAATTCTACTTTTTTGTAAACATCATTTACATGATCACATCATGAATTTATTATTATTATTTTCATAAAGTTCATATAGTTTCTGAAATAGATTTATGTGAATAGCAGTTTTCAGCACGTTGCGCGGTGGAGTATTTAAGACACATGCAGAATAAAGTTCCAAAGAAATATCACTACCTGAAGGTGGTGGAAGTGGTAGGGTTTGCTGGGTCCACAGTTGTTGAGTTCATCACATGCGTACTTGAGTATGTTGTGTCACTCGACAAGTTCATCCTAAATCCTCATTGTCCATGGAATGGAGAACTGCCATCCCAGTATGATGACAACTTCATTCCGATGCAGCAATTAGCAAGGGAGAGCACTATGAAGATGGCAGCAAAACTACCACCAGGGGTCAAATTTGTGGTTATTAGTCTTAGTCCTATATTCCCATAGATTTTGTGAACCTCTGGACAGTGGTGGCATGCATGATGCACTACTTTCTAACTGCTTTTGTTTTCTTTTTATTTATTGGATTTCACCTTTTAAGCTTTTTAAACTGTTTGATAGAAAGTTATTGTAGAAAATTAATGGTGCTTGTTGGGACTATAGTTTGTGAATTTCTGAGTTTTTAGGGGAAAATTATTCAATACATCCAGAACACCACGTATCCATATTCCAAACTAATCATCAATTACTTAGCCCCATATTGTTCCCCCATTACCAACATAAATCGTGGGCCCTTGTGTCTTTTCACCAATCAAAACCTTATGAGGCACCAGGTGTCCATACTCCGGGAGTACTGAACAATCACTTGTTTTTAGGCTCAGGAAATTGCTCTTGTTGAAGTAACTTATGTGGAATGTTTGTTATCTCCAAAAGCAAGACCTGCTAATGGAAGACCAGGGGTGTCATCCATAGTTCTAAATCGCGGTGTCGGATAACATAACGGTATCGATCACGGAGTATCAGTATCGGTAGTATCGACTGGTACATATTGGGAATCGGGTGTCACGGCCTTGAAATTTTAAAAATCATTAACAATTCTCTGAAACTCAATTTTATACATTTTTTTTTTTACTCTTTTAGCCTTAATTTGTCGCATTTTAATCAAAATTTTGATATGAATGAATACTTTTGACTTATTTTCAACTAAGTAATATATATTTATTTTAGTCTCAATTATAAGTTTTAATTATCTACAATTTAAAATAAATTTACAGCATACACCAACTAGACCCACTAATTGGTTAAAGAAACACATGGGCCCAAGATTACTCAAAACAACCTACCTTCTCCAGCAAAATGTCTTGGCCCAAAACTATGAATATACATTTATATAAAATATATACACTGCGCCCCACTTTCCCTGTATCATACCTAGTTTCTTGTAGCCCCAAAGCTTTGCTCAACGGCGCAGCATGACCAGAAAAGCGACGGAAGCCGCCGAAGGATAGTACGACCTCCTCATGAACCTCATAGCGGCACTCTCACTTTAGCGAAGACTAGAAATCCAAAACCAAAAACAGCATCGGAGCCACGAGCAGTTTTTTGCGCTGATTTTCATCCGTACCAGCGACAACCGGCCTGTATCGTATCAAATTCAGGCCGCTACGTACCGGGACTCGGCCGCTACAGCTGCGAATTTCATTCTCCCCACTATACCGGTCTATATCCGAACCGCTGGTCTGATTTTCCGATACGAATCGTACCGGCCGATTTTTAGAACTATGATATCACTTCCTTTAGGTTCTGTTTGGTTGAAGGATTTGATGAGGGAAATAGAAATGGAAAGGGAAAGGGAAATAGAAAGAAATAGAGAAAAAATTGATAGGATTCGATTTTCAAGTTATGTTTGGTTGAGTTAAGAATTGGAGAGAGAAAAAAAAAAAAAAAAGAGTCTACATGAACGCAAAAGATAAAAAATGGAATTGTATTTCCTTTTTACTTTCTTTTCTCTTGTGTTTTCTATCATAACTAAACAAAAAGTGAAATTACATTTTCATTTTCTTTTTCTTTTTCTTTTTCTTTTTCATTTCTCTCTTGCTTCCTTTTGCGGCACTAGATTTTGATGGGGTTGCAACCAGGTATACAAACAAAGCAGGGTGATCATAGAGATCAAGGACCCATACTTGGCCAACAACCTCTCTAGGTAGAGACAAGTTAGGAGTATGAGAATATCAATCAATTCTGTAGAAGTCCTAAAATTCACTGAAGTTAGTTCATTTATGATGAAAATACTCATAAATAGACATGTACTAACAGTACAGCCTACGAAGATACAGAGAAGAATGGTCATCAACAAACATTTTATTATTGTAAAAAATTGTTATCACAATATAAAATTATAAAATAATAAATTTCAAATTTAATATTATGCGTATTAAACAAATTGTTTTAGTTCAACATTTAAATTTTTATCAAATAACATTTTAGCTTTAAAAATTCAATATCAATTTTATCAAACATCATAGCCAAAGCGGAAATAAAATCCAACATAAATAAATCTCATTAACTTCCAAATGAACAAAAATTAGGGGATCAAAAAAAAATAAAAGTTCCTTGAAAATATGTTCGTTTTTATTCAATAAATAGGAATTTTGACGTTATTAGAGGAAATCTTGGAATAAATTGATTATATGAGTTAAATGACTAATTTTTGGAGCAAATTTGGAAGGATAAATTATATTTTGTCTCATTTATGTTTGGTCACTTTTCTACTTCCTTTAAAGTTTATTTTTTTTCACTTTAGCCTTTAAAATTTATTTTTTTCTACTTTGACCCTTCATATTTTAAATTTTTTCTAGTTTACTCATAAAGTTAATTTATGTTAAAAATTAGACAAAAAATGACATTTTGATAGTCACATAGCATAAAAATATTTTATTATATATAACTCACATTTATGACATAAACTTAAACCCTAATACAATAATATATTTTTTATGTTATGTGACAAGTTATTATGATATTTTCTATTTAATTTTGAACATAAGTTAGTTTTAGAAGTAAATTGAGAAAAACTTTAAGCATAAAAGGTCAAAGTGAGAAAATAACTTAAAAAGACCAAAGTCTAATTTACTCAAATTTGGAAAGATAGAAATAAAGGAAGGCCTTCAAATAATGACTCATCTCTATACGATAATTCTCCATACTCTTTTATATTTCATTTTGTGGGTCTTATTTTAGGCTCATAATGATAATGGTCTAAATTGTTCATCTCGTAAAACTCACGGTGTAGACATTTGTGCAAAAAATCAACTTCATCGAATTTCGATGAAAAAATAAACGAATCACATTTTATTTATAAAATAAATAGTTTAAATTTAAACTTATAACTACCATCCATTTAAAAAAAAAATTAATGTAATTTTATCATGTATCTAGTAATGTCCCATAAAATTTGTTCTTTCATACAACACTTCTTTATCGTTGGGTTTATAAAATAAACAATTCGAATCATTATTTTGGATTGGAGCTTACAAAATGAAATATAGAGAAGTGTAGAGAATAGTAATATAGAGGAGAGCTATTCCCTTTAAAATATTAAATGACATAAAATATTAGGAGAACTTTAACATACAATTTACAATAAAATTAAATACAAAAAAAAATTACTATAATATTGGATAGATCATTGGAAAGACAGACCTTTTACAATGCCAAATTAAATCTTACTTAGATTATGTAATTTTTTTTTTTTTTTTTTTTGGGTGTGTTTTTAAGAACTTATAACTTCATATGAAAATATACATATAAAAATATAATATCTTTATATTGACCACGACCAAAAAAAAATTATCATACATATTTAAAATATATTTTTAAAATATCAAATCACAGGAGAATTGCAGTTGCTTGTCTTCTTCACCTAAGTCCATCACTGTAAATAAAAAAAGATAACCATAGCAGTCTGTTTACCATGAAAATTGGTAAGTTATAAATACACGTGAGATTTATTTACAATACAAATTATTTTTATAGTTTAAAAAATTATAAATATTTTTATCATAATTTTTTATACAATAGAATTAATTAAAAATATTAAATTTTAAACACTTGGAGTCTCCCTAAGCCTATCTTAACAGAAGGAGGCACTAAAAGAATGAGAGATAATGAGAGTTTAGTAAATGTTGGTTGAGTGAAAGTAAGCAAGAGTGAGTGTTTTCAAATGTTTTGTTTCTTGTGTAGCTCAGTGTTTGCTGGAATAAAGATAAATTATAACCAATGTGGGTTGAGGGATGTGAGCACATCTATAATACTAACCTGTCACTGCCCATACAGTTTAATTCTAACATACTACATATATTGCCATACTTTATCTATTTTGCAGATACAGAAGGCTATGAAGGTATATGTTGAAACCGTGTTGTGTTGGTTGAGTGATGCTAGCTTATGTATTGTGTGCTTATTTTTTCTTATCAAGTGCTATGAGCTTCTAAATAGAGGGTTGAGTGATGTGAGCATATATGTTATTTGCGTTGGCGATTGTGATTTGGAAAAACTGTATATGGTAATACATCATTGTCGAATTGAGGTGTTCTTAGGTAATATCCTATATTGGACAGGTTTTATTAACATAAAGTGGAAGAAAGCTGGGCACTGGGGCTGCTGGTATCAAAAGTAGCTGGGTGTACCTTGCTGGAAGGAAGCTACAAGTACAAATGGGTGCTGGGAGCACCTAAAGTGTGAAGAAAGCTTTACTCTAATTTGTATATATTTGTCGAGCGCTAGTTTCTGTCCAGATAGGACCTTTTTTGGCCTACCCTTGCGGGTTGTGCTACGGATTGCTCTTGTATTTTGTTTATCTTTGTTTTGGGTGGTTGAGAATGTAAAATATATTCATGTTCAACATACATTCTATATGAGGTTCTGTAGAGGGGTTCAAGGTTAGGAAGGTAATTAAAGAGGCAAAACTATGCTAATGGTCCAAGAATGGTGGAATGACCGGAGAATGAGTAGCAGCAACTGTCTAGAAAGATGGAGAGTGAGCAGCCGGGTGAGAGTGAAGCAGGTAGCTCAAGAAAAAATGTATGTCAGCGCACAAATGAGCAGCATCTCCCCCAAATCTTCCAAAATTCATCTTTTTGAACCTTGGGAAATGGGTCATATTTATAGGTTTTTCCTTGGTACCAAGAGAACACCAAATGGCCAAACAGAGAGAGGACATATGTCCCAGAGGATCACATGAAATATTCTGCCTTGAGCCACCAGGCTGAAGGTGCCACGTGTCCCTCTGCATGTACTGTGTACTATCTGTTTGCCTCCGCAACTACCTTTTTTGAGCCTCAATAAGTGTAGTTGCGGCGGGAGTGTTTGGCGCTGCAACTCCCTTTTGAGCCTCAGGAAGTGCAGCTGCGGCAAGAGTGTTTGCCGCTGCACTTGCCTTCTTAGCTAAAACCTCAACAAGTGCACTTGCAGCGGTAGACCTTGCTGCTGCACTTGCCTTCTCAATTCTACTTATCCAATACATGCATTCTCAGGACTCTATTAGTCTGCTATCGACTATGTTCGTGCTCACCTCAGCGAAGCCTCTAACCTTAGCCACCTAACCACAAACTCTTCAGCTTCCCAAGGCGAAGGCCATAACCAAGCTTGCTATCAGCCATGTTGTGCCTTAGTACC